CCACCCACTGGCGCTCAATAGGAATCAGAATAAAATGGTGGTACATTCTATCACAATCAAATGACAGATGTTTATGTCACTTATGTATAATAGCTCTAGATTTTGAGGAATTTATATGCAGTCTTTTTTATGTATGCATTAATTTCTCTGTGGAAACATTTAAATGAACAATCAAATCAGTCTATCCCCCATCAAACTGAGGCCAGGGCTTAGTGTATGTGTACAATATTGTCTTTATTCCATAGTTAATCTGCATTAATTCTAGGATTTCATCTGTAACTCTGGAATTTTGTCAGTTAGTATCATCTTTGATAGGTCAAATTCTATTTACAACTTAGTGGGAAACTGAGATTTACTTAGGAATTTTAAAAATTACTAATTAATATCTTTGCTTTTCATACAAAATTTTAGACAGATATTTTTTTTTCAGTTAAGAATATTTACAATCATTATGGCTATAGGATAGGATCATTTCAGGTTCCCTATCCTCAGCTGCCCCAGGAACTAACTGGGGACCTCGCCTTGGGCACCTGGAAGCCCCTCTAGGTCCAAGTCTCTTCCCAACCCTAAGATGGCTCCCTTAATTAAGATATGTGCTTCCCTGCAATCCTATCCAACCTTCCTTTATTCCAATCATCCCGTTGCCCCAAGTTCTCCCCATCCTACCCTTCTCACTTTTCTCTCCCCATCTCCCCTTACCCCCCTCCCACCCCACCCTTAAGATCCCGATTTTTTGCCTGGCAATCTTGTCTACTTCCCATAACCAGGAGGATAGCTAAATGTTTTTCTTTGGGTTCACCTTCTTATTTAGCTTTTTTAGGATATCAAATAATAGACTCACTGACCTTTATTTATGGCTAGAAACCAATTATGAGTGAGTACACCCCATGTTCATCTTTTTGGGTCTGGGTTACCTCACTCAAGATAGTATTTTCTATTTCCATCCATTTGCATGCAAATTTTGCATATCACCATAGAACCTTCATCTGGCAATGGATGGAGATAGAGACAGAGACCCACACTGGAGCACTGGACTGAGCTCCCAAGGTCCCAATGAGGAGCAGAAGGAGGGAGAACATGAGCAAAGAAGTCAGGACCACGAGGGGTGCACCCACCCACGGAGACAGTGTAGCTGATCTATTGGGAGCTCACCAAGGCCAGCTGGACTGTGACTGAAAAAGCAGGGGATAAAACCGGACTCTCTGAGCATGGCGAACAATGAAGGCTGATGAGAAGCCAAGGACAATGGCACTGGGTTTTGATCCTAATACATGTTCTGGCTTTATGGGAGCCTAGCCAGGTTGGATGTTCACCTTCCTAGACCAGGATGGAGAGGGGAGGACTTTGGACTTTCCACAGGGCAGGGAACCCTGACTGCTCTTCAGACTTGAGAGGGAGGCGGAGAGGAGTGGGGGAGGGGGAGAGGAGTGGGGGGACGGGGAGAGGAGTGGGGGGAGGGGGGAGGAGTGGGAGGCTGGGAGGAGACAGAAATTTTTTTTTCTCAATAAAAAAAAGAATATTTACAATCTGATAAACTGAAGATCATTTGACTATGTATCTAGTTCTAGCATGCATTTAGTGTGTAAACTCTTCCCAGCTCTACAAAATGTTTACCAGAAAAACAATCTTCAATAACAATCTATTTATAAATAATAAGTGTCTGAGATGGTAAAAAAATTAAAGCTATAAAAAGGGGAATTTCCACATTTTAGGAGTGAAATTTTAAAACATTGAATAAAGATCATCAAATATTTTAAAACGCTAAATGTATCAAAGTCAGCATATTTGTGTCTAGTAGACAGTGCTTCACAGGGCATGAGCGTCAACATGATCATGCTGTAAACAGGTATTCGGTTTCTCACCCACATGGAAAGGATCCAGGATCCTCCAGTATTACTGACCATGGGTGTGCCTCTCTTACTTAAGGTCGAGGCTTCCTGTTGTACAGACAGTGGTGACAAAGACCATCTGTCAGGTAGGAAGTAGAAATTGTTCCTCAGGGACATTCCTTGGATGCTATGCTTTACACTTCACCTACTTCCCACTGGCTGCAATTTGCACAGCTTCCTGTGTCTGCAGAAGAAACTACTAGATACATTCTTTTTTCAAGGTAGCTCTCTACCCCTTTAACACTGAAAGATAATTTACTATGTTAAACTCTGGGTTGAAGGCCAGTCAGAATTTCTTTGACAGTATCAAGCCAAGTTCATTACCATTCTTCATGAACAGTTTCAGTTCTTGCCACCACTACTTACATCTTACTATTTTCTATTCACTAGTAGTCAAATTAATCTACTCTCTAGAAAAGAGATCATGCAATCAAATAGGACTGGACAGAGAATGCTGGCTTCTACTTGCAAGGTTTTCTAGCAGACAAATATTTCCTAATGCCTTCATTATATACAATTTCTCTCTTTTTTAGTAATAGCACAAATAATGTTATTTGAGTTGGGTTTATAAGCATTACACAAATGAGCACAGTTCTCAGTAGTTTGGTACTTTAACTATTGGCTTTACCCACATGATTCATAACAAGTCTGTTGTCATATCTTGATATGTGTTCTTTTCCATGTCCTCTTCACAGGGTTTACATTGTTAACACTGTTGGGCCATTCTTCCAGCCTTCACAATAGACTTCAACACTTCCCCTTTTCTATTCCTGAAGAAAAGTCACCCTTACATGCAATAGTTTCCTTCCAAATAGACACTTGGTTATCATAGATATGTCACATATAGAATAAGTCAGAGATATCTCACATGAAATAAGATAGAGAATGTGTCATTTGACACAAGGAAAGATCTTTCTGGCCCCTTCAGCCATCCTTATATTTTAACTCATGTTCAAATGATCTGGATGCCAGAATCACCAGCTCATCTTGATATCTCAGTTCTACTAAATGCCTTCATTCTTATAAATGCCCTCTTCCTAGGATAAAATCAATTTAACTGTATAACCCACATTTTCTGCCACCTAAGTTCAAATTTTGACAAATATGTCAAAATGTCAAAAATAATTCAACATAAGGAGTTGAAAATATGTTCACTGTAACTATTGATTTGTTAATGTTGAAATATAGTTTGTTCCTCAAGTTTAAATAATTCTCTACTCTAGAATGTTTATCATATTTTGCTGCTTTGCTCACATGATAAAAACTGTGTAGCACATATGTTTTCTTCACATATATGCTTCTATAGTAACTAGTTTTATATATATAATTATATATACATATACATATAGTGCATATACATTTATATGTAAGTATAAGTATATGCATGCACACAAATATGCATATAAAATATATGTATATAAAATATGTGTGTAAATATGTGTGTGTATAAATATACATGCATATATATATATATTGCTAATTTCAACTTATGAGTTGGTAAGAACCATGTATGTGTAGTTAACATTCACTAATCTACAAACAATCCCTAACAAAGGCCTTGCATCAGATGCACTAAAAACTTTCCTATTTAGTTGAGTTTCAAAGAGAGACTTACTTAGCACTTACCGTCTACACTTGGACCTTATGCTATGAAGAACTAATTAAGGCCAAATGACTAACAACTGACAGTAAAATGCCGTAGGGAGTATCTTCCAACTTCAGCAACTAGTGAAATATTCAGAAGAGAAAGGGCGATATTTCAGTGATTTATTCCCTAGGGAATTGATGGCATTTTGGCAGTTCATGTAATTTCTACCAGATTGAAATCCGAATCTGTGGGAAACCAACAAGCCTTTATGTCTAAACTCTATAGACACCAGAACATGTGTTTAATAAATGCATCTAATGGCAAGCTGAGTCTTTAGTAAACTGAAGATTATAAAATTGGTGAAATTAATACAATTAAAAGTCTTTATTGAATGCATAAAGAGTTATGAATGAAGAGTTATGAATACATGTAGAAATTAACAATTAGATAAGCCATGGTTCTTGTTTGTTTATTTTCTTATTCTTCTGCTAGTATTAAATATTGAACCCAGAGCCTCAGGCATGCCAAGCAAGTGCTCAATCGCTGAATTATATCTCCTTTGATAAATAATAAAGGGTATAAAATATGTTTGTTTCATAAATAAAAATTATTACCATATAATGAATAGCAGGAGCTTGAATTGTAGATTTTTTTAGGACGAACAAAGTTTCTAAACTAATTCTCTAAAATTTGAATTTAAAAATTATTGTTGTCATCTTGAACAATTAACTTTGACTGCATCACTTGCCCTCAAGTTTGCGAGACTATGTCAGCTCCACATCAGTGTCTGCCAAAGAAAGGCAAACAGACATTTGCTCTATGACCTGTTTTCATTGGTGGTTCTCTTTTATATTATGGATAAAATATGTGTACAGAAAGATGATTTAATACATGATTATGCTCGCAATGGTTATTTTAGAATAAGCAATTGGCCCAGTGGTGGTGGTACACACCTTTAATCCTAGCACTTGGGAGGCAGAGTCAGGCGGATCTCTGAGTTCGAGGCCAGCCTGGTCTACAAGAGCTAGATCCAGGACAGACTCAAAAGCTACAGAGAAACCCTGTCTAGAAAACAAAACAAAACAAAACAAACAAACAAAAAAACAGAATAGACAACTGAGGAAAATCAGTGTAACTAGCTCCTATTTTCTTAGAATTTGGGTCTCTGAAGGAGAAATCCCTATCGATTCATTATTCATGAAGAAATCATATCAGAAAAAGTTGTCTCTGGGCCAGGAGCAGGGGGATTTTTGATGAGGGAACAGGAAGAGGTACTGAACGTCCATCTATGCACTTGATTGAAAGACAGGAAGTAGCAGAGTGACCTTTCCTCCTAATCTGGATCCCAGCAGTTCCTTGGTCCTTGGCAGTTCATTAAAGAGGCACAAAGGCCTCTTGTCTTGGTCCATAAGAACATAGTAGCAAATACGACAATGGATACTCAAGTGAAGTTTTCACAAGAATTTCTCATTACTTTTGGATTTTGTCTGCACATAACTGATTGCCTGGTTTCACTTTTCTAGAGTTCATCTAGATGAAGAGATGGAATCAGTGCCTGGTTTTAAGGGGAAAAGTGCTCCTGAAGCCCCAGCTGTGGTTCCTGACACTCATTTCAGACAGCTCGCCACCTGGAGCTCCAAGACCAAGAACACCGGTACCTTTGCAGACACCCACACTTTTGCAGCATACTTATAGACAGACAATGAAGCAAAATAACATATAATAAGTGGAATGAGCTTTGTTTCTAGTTTCCGTGGAATGGCAGGCCTGACTCCCACAATAACTACCCATCATTGGGAATGAACGCCGAAACAAAACACACTGGTGTTTCATTTCTCTATGTAAGTTGCCATAGTGGATTTAAAAGCTTATCTAATTCTTCTAGGAAGATTTGATGTTTCCCGGTTGTCCTTCATTGTTCTTACTGAAATTAAGAAAGCAGGCTTCCTTACCCACTCTGAGGAGTTGATGTGGTGGTAGGGTAGGTGGAAAGGTGGGGCGGGAGGAGGGGAGCAAGGAGGAACTGTGATAGCTATGTAAAATGAGAAAAGATTGTATTATAAAATTCTTAATAAAAAAAGAAAGGAGGCTTCATGACATGCCTACTATCTGTGAGGAAGCTATAGGGAAAAGCTATCTAATTTCCTGAGAAACGATTGGAAGGCTTAAGTGTGTATGGGTGTATATGTTTGTATGTGTACGTGATTATCTTGTCTTGTCATTTTTTTAAACTGCAATAACCTTTTCTTCTTATCTAGAGTTGTAAGATGGAACTGAATGAAGGTGGAGAAGAGAAGCACAAAAGCAAGGAGCCTACAATAGAAACAGTACTGGAAAAGAGGAACAGCATCCAGTGATCATGGAGTTAGCTGTGTACAGCATGATTCCAGCAGGCCCTTTTCCTGTAAGCAGTTCTGGCAGAACGGAGCACATGTGCTGAGCTGCGCACCTCCCTCATATGTATACTGTGTGTACCAGGAGACAGTGAGAGAAGGAGAACACAAGATGGTTTTGTGCTTCCAGCATGGAAACCATTAACTTGGTTTTTCTTTGTAAGACTAAGCAAGTTATTTAAACTCATGGAATTTAATGGTCTCCGCACTTAAGAACTGGCCACCTTACAAGATAATTTTGTTAAGTGAAGTATTAACATAATGTAGTAATCTCATCTTAAACATAACTTTCTTGTTATATTTAATAATATTGAATCCACTCATTAATTAGTATGTGATCAGCACTTATATTTTCAAAATGCTTTTATTCACCAACTCTTTATTTCAAAACATCAAAAAAACCAAGGAGGTAAAAACATGAGATATCTCTGTTGAAGTTTATAATGTACAAAGACTTAATGTATTTTGCTTGTATGAATAAAACCTATGAAAATTATATGTACAAAATTACCCAAATGATGTACATATGAGTAAAAATGTGTCTTAAATTTGTGTCTCATTTGCTAAATTTCCTTTAAAATGAATTTAGTGATTGATAAAAATGTTCGGATGGAAAAGAAACACCTCAACATATAATTAAAGAGTTATTATTACATGAGACCATTTTTTATTTAGGGGTTAATATAAATTTGAGGGGGGAGGGGAAGGAGAAAGAGAGAAGAGAATTTATGAATATATGAGATTATTACTCTTCTATGTAGAGAGTAGAGTCCTTGAAACAATCGCTTTCTCCTGCTAATTACCCCTCTAAGTTTAATAAGGAAAACTTCTGATTTTAGTCACCAAATGTAGATCCATCAAATACGAGTAGAATATGGGCTAAATATCAGTCTAAACAATGATGTGTCATAAGCAATCTGAATAGAGATTGTCGTTATTATTTAGTGATGTTAGGTCTTCTTAATGAGCATAAAAACAAGGCCTGAGGATAGCTATATGTTTTTCTTTGGGTTCACCTTCTTATTTAGCTTCTTTAGGATATCAAATTATAGACTCACTGACCTTTATTTATAGCTAGAACCCAATTATGAGTGAGTACATCCCATGTTCATCTTTTTGGGTCTGGGTTACCTCACTCAGGATGGTGTTTTCTATTTCCATCCATTTGCATGCAAAATTCAAGAAGTCATTGTTTTTTACCGCTAAGTAGTACTCTAATGTGTAGATATTCCACACTTTCTTCATCCATTCTTCCATTGAAGGACATCTAGGTTGTTTACAGGTTCTGGCTATTACAAATAATACTGCTATGAACATAGTTGAACAAATACCCTTGTCATATGATCGGGCATCTCTTGGGTATATTCCTAAGAGTGGCATTGCTGGGTCCAGGGGTAGGTTGATCTCGAATTTCCTGAGAAACCGCTACACTGCTTTCCAAAGTGGTTGCACAAACTTGTGCATTCCCACCAGCAATGGATGAGTGTACCCCTTCCTCCCAAAGAAAAACATAGCTATCCTCCTGGTTATGGGAAGTAGACAAGATTGCTGGGCAAAAAATTGGGATCTTGGGGGGTGGGGTGGGAGAGGGGTAAGGGGAGATGGGGAGAGAAAAGTGAGAAGGGTAGGATGGGGAGAACTTGGGGCAACGGGATGATTGGGATAAAGGAAGGTTGGATAGGGGAGCACGGAAGCACAATTCTTAGTTAAGGGAGCCACCTTAGGGTTGGCAAGAGACTTGGACCTAGAGGGGCTCCCAGGTGCCCAGGGCGATGTCCCCAGTTAGCTCCTGGGGCAGCTGAGGATAGGGAACCTGAAATGACCCTATCCTATAGCCATACTGATGAATATCTTGCATATCACCATAGAACCTTCATCTGGCGATGGATGGAGATAGAGACAGAGACCCACACTGGAGCACCGGACTGAGCTCCCAAAGTCCCAATGAGGAGCAGAAGGAGGGAGACCATGAGCAAAGAAGCCAGGACCACAAGGGGTGCACACACCCACGGAGACAGTGTGGCTGATCTATTGGGACCTCACCAAGGCCAGCTGGACTGTGACTGAAAAAGCATGGGATAAAACCGTACTCTCTGAATATGGCAGACAATGAGGGCTGCTGAGAAGCCAAGGACAATGGCACTGGGTTTTGATCCTACTTCATGTTCTGGCTTTGTGGGAGCCTAGCCAGTTTGGATGTTCACCTTCCTAGACCAGGATGGAGGGGGGAGGACTTTGGACTTTCCACAGGGCAGGGAACCCTGACTGCTCTTCAGACTGGAGAGGGAGGGGGAGAGGAGTGGGGGGAGGGAGAGAGGAGTTGGAGGAGGGGGAGGGAAATGGGAGGCTGGGAGGAGGCATAAATTTTTTCTTTTCAAAAAAAAATAAATAAATAAAAATTTTTAAAAATGAAAAATACACAGAGAAGCTGGAAAAAAAACCAAAAAACAAAAAAACAAGGCCTGAAATTCCTCAACGCTGTTTCCAGTAGAGCTGCGTTGGGTTGCAGTTTGCACCTGGAACAGGGGAAAGCTTAGCAAGAGTAGTTGGTTATGTATGATTAGGTTCAGCACTCCTCTAATTGCATCATCAAATATTGTTCAAAATTACTTCTAAAATTCAAATTCTAGGTTTTGATAGTAGCCTTGTAATCTGTAAGTTCCATATCTCTTTCCCAGAAAAATGTTTTCCTTCTGAATTCTATTTTAGTTAAAATATCAACTACCAGTTCTTTGTCATGAGCTACTGCATCCCTAAATTGACTTGTGAGTCCTGCAAATAGTCCGAAATAAGGGTTTGGCCTTTGGTTCAATCTCAGAATCTGTTACCTTCTGCCTGGTAGAAATCATTTGGGAGTCAACCTGATTCTTTGCTGTAAAGGCGGCCATCTGGAACCTGGTTATCACTGGGGAAATGGAGGAGGATGTCACTCCCAATGCACAATGGGAACAGAGTGTTTATTTCCTCTCATGCTGATTAAATTTTAAAGGGAAAGGTTAAACGGCAGACACCACAAACACAACATTCGGCCCACAAGCGACTACACGTTCTGCGGACTTGACAGCGCTGTGCGAAACAGCAGTTTCCAGGACCTCCACCAGCAGGAACTGAAACGATCTAAAATTAGATGGCAAAGGGGAAAGTCTCTGGGGGATGTTCAGAAATGTTCTTTTGTTTGTTTTCTTTTATGTCATTAAGTATATGTTGTAAATCATAGGTCAGAGGTTCTGGGATGCTTCCAAAAGCCAACTCCCCTCATTACAGAATAGGAATTTCGGGAGAATAATAGGGAGCTGAAAGGAATACACGGCAGGGAGGAGGACTAACAGTCGTAAACTAGTATTAATTGATCAGGAAACAGCCAGCTGAAGGGAAATCAAGCTCTCTGGTAATGATAGGGTCGCAACAGTGACAAACACGACAGTGGAGAAGTCACTGGACACATTCAGAGCAAACATTGATTTGAGGGTCAAAGCATTAAAATAGGAAGGAAAAGTGAAGAGAGGAAGGGTAGGGTTCCTCTCCATTTAGTTTGATGCTGATTGTCAGTTTGCTGTATATTGCTTTTATTAAGTTCCTTGTATCCCTGATCTCTCCAAGACCTTTATCGTGAAGGTGTGTTGGATTTTGTCGAAGGCTTTTTCAGGATCTACTGAGATGATTTTCTTCTTTAAGTTTGCTCTTCTGGTGAATTACATTGACAGATTTTCATGTGTAGAAACAACCCTGTATGTCTGGGTTAAAGCCTACTTTATCATGGTGGATAAATTTTTGATGTGTTCTTGGATTTGGTTTGTTAATATTTTATTGAATATTTTGCATCAATGTGTATGAGGGAGATTGGTCTGTAATTCTATTTCTGAGTTGAACCTTTGTGATTTTGGTATTATGGTAACATTAGCTTCATAAAAAGGTTTGTCAAGGTTCCTTTTGTTTCTATTTTATAAAAACAATTTAAGGAGTATTGGCATCAGTTCTTTGAAGTTCTGGTAGAATTCTGCACTGAAACCATTTGGCGCTGGGCTTTTTTTTTTTGGTGGGAAGACTTTTGATGACTGCTTATATTTCCTTAGGGATTATTGGTCTCTTAATTGTTTGTCTGGTCTTGATTTAATTTTGGTATATGGTATTTACCCAGAAAAATTGTCTATTTCTTCTACATTTTCCAATTCTGTGGAGTACAGGTTTTTGAAGGATGACCTAATGATTCTCTGGATTCCCTTGGTGTCTGTTGTTATGTTGTTATGTCCCCCTTTTCACTTCTGATTGTGTTCATTTGGATATTCTTTTTCTACCTTTTGGTTAATTTGGATAAGGGTTTGTCTATCTTGTTGATTTTCTTGAAGAACCAGCTCTTTGTTTCACTGATTCTTTTTATTGTTTCCTTTGTTTCAATTTTATTGATTTCAGCCCTCAATTTAATTATTTCATGTCATCTACTCTTCTTGGATGAGTTTGTTTCTTTTTGCTCTAGAACTTTCAGGTGTGCTATTAAGTCAATAGTGTGAGATTTCTCCACTTTCTTTATGTAGGCACTTATTGCTATGAACTTTCCTCTTAGTAGTGCTTTCATAGTGTCCCATAGATTTGGGTATGTTGTGCCCTCCTTTTAATGGAGTTCTAGGAAGTCTTTAATTTCTTTCTATTTCTTCTTTGACCCAGGGGTGATTCAGCTGAGCATCATTGAATTTCCATGAGTTTGAAGGCTTTCTGCAATTAGGTTTGTTGTTGAATTCTAATTTTAAGCCATAGTGATCCAATAGGACACAGGGCCTTATTCCAATTTTTTGTATCTATTGCAGTTTGCAATTTTAAAGATGGCATCATGCAGTGCAGAAGTGTTTGGATAAAATGTTTTATAAAGGTTGGTTAAGTCCATTTGAGTCATAACATGGATTACTACTCAGTGGTAAAAAAAACAAAACAAAACAAAAACAATGGCATCTTGAAATTTGTAGGCAAATGGATGGAACTAGAAGAGAACATCCTGAGTGAGGTAACCCAGACCCAGATAGACAAACACAGTACGCACTCACTCATAAGTGGATAATAAAGCAAAGGATAACCAGCCTATAGTCCAAAGCCCCAGAGAAGCTAGAGAACAATGATAATCCTCAGATAGACATACTGGGTATGGGAAAATAGACAAGATACCTTGAGTAAATTGGGAATATGGGGGTGGGTAGGGAGGGGAGAAGGAGGACATGGGGGAACGGGATGGTGGAGATTGGGGAAGGACAGAGAGGGAGAGCAAGGAAAGAGAGAGCTATTATGGGATTAGGGAGAAACCTAGCAATAGGAACATTTTCCAGGAATCCACGGGCATGACTCCAGCTAAGACCCTATACAATAGTGGAGAGGGAACCTGAATGGGCCTTCCCCTGTAATCAGATTGATAACTACCTTAATTGTCACCATAGAATCATCCAGGAAATGGTGGAAGTAGATGCAAGGATCTACAGATAAGCC